TGCAGGAAAGAGAGTGAGTGGGGGGGGGGCTCCTGCATGAACGAGAGTGAGTGGGGGGTGGGGGCTCCTGCAGGAACGAGAGTGAGTGAGTGGGAGCTGGACCCCTGGCCCGGCAGCGTAGCCTGGTAAAGTGGGCGCCACTCGGGACTCAGGCCAGGGCTGTGAGCTGTGAGCTGTGCCCCCACCTGGCTCTGTGCCCGGCTTCCGTGGGGCACCGACTGCCTGCAGCTCCAGGACCCGCACCCTGACCCCCGCCCCGGCCACACTCCGTGCGGGCAAGAGGAGGACGGGAGCGGCCAGGAGCCCCAGGAAAGCATGTGTGTGTGTGTGTGTGTGTGTGCATGCGTACCCATGTCTGTGTGTATTGTGTATGTGTGTATATGTGTGTACCCATGTCTCTGTGTGTTGAGTATGTGTCTATATGTGTGTGCACATACCCATGTCTCTGTTGTCCATTTGTGTGTATAGTGTATGTGTGTATGCATGTCTATGAGTGTGTTGTTTATGTGTGTGTGTGTGTGTAGGTATGTGTGCATAGCCATGTCTGTGTGTATACATGTCTATGTATGTGTTGTATATTCGTGTGTGTGTAGGTAGGTATGTGTACATAGCCATGTCTGTCTGTCTGTGTGGGTGTGTGTGTGTGGAGGTAGGTATGTGTACATAGCCATGTCTGTCTGTCTGTGTGGGTGTGTGTGTGTGGAGGTAGGTATGTGTACATAGCCATGTCTGTCTGTCTGTGTGGGTGTGTGTGTGTGGAGGTAGGTATGTGTACATAGCCATGTCTGTCTGTCTGTGTGGGTGTGTGTGTGTGGAGGTAGGTATGTGTACATAGCCATGTCTGTCTGTCTGTGTGGGTGTGTGTGTGTGGAGGTAGGTATGTGTACATAGCCATGTCTGTCTGTCTGTGTGGGTGTGTGTGTGTGGAGGTAGGTATGTGTACATAGCCATGTCTGTCTGTCTGTGTGGGTGTGTGTGTGTGGAGGTAGGTATGTGTACATAGCCATGTCTGTCTGTCTGTGTGGGTGTGTGTGTGTGGAGGTAGGTATGTGTACATAGCCATGTCTGTCTGTCTGTGTGGGTGTGTGTGTGTGGAGGTAGGTATGTGTACATAGCCATGTCTGTCTGTCTGTGTGGGTGTGTGTGTGTGGAGGTAGGTATGTGTACATAGCCATGTCTGTCTGTCTGTGTGGGTGTGTGTGTGTGGAGGTAGGTATGTGTACATAGCCATGTCTGTCTGTCTGTGTGGGTGTGTGTGTGTGGAGGTAGGTATGTGTACATAGCCATGTCTGTCTGTCTGTGTGGGTGTGTGTGTGTGGAGGTAGGTATGTGTACATAGCCATGTCTGTCTGTCTGTGTGGGTGTGTGTGTGTGGAGGTAGGTATGTGTACATAGCCATGTCTGTCTGTCTGTGTGGGTGTGTGTGTGTGGAGGTAGGTATGTGTACATAGCCATGTCTGTCTGTCTGTGTGGGTGTGTGTGTGTGGAGGTAGGTATGTGTACATAGCCATGTCTGTCTGTCTGTGTGGGTGTGTGTGTGTGGAGGTAGGTATGTGTACATAGCCATGTCTGTCTGTCTGTGTGGGTGTGTGTGTGTGGAGGTAGGTATGTGTACATAGCCATGTCTGTCTGTCTGTGTGGGTGTGTGTGTGTGGAGGTAGGTATGTGTACATAGCCATGTCTGTCTGTCTGTGTGGGTGTGTGTGTGTGGAGGTAGGTATGTGTACATAGCCATGTCTGTCTGTCTGTGTGGGTGTGTGTGTGTGGAGGTAGGTATGTGTACATAGCCATGTCTGTCTGTCTGTGTGGGTGTGTGTGTGTGGAGGTAGGTATGTGTACATAGCCATGTCTGTCTGTCTGTGTGGGTGTGTGTGTGTGGAGGTAGGTATGTGTACATAGCCATGTCTGTCTGTCTGTGTGGGTGTGTGTGTGTGGAGGTAGGTATGTGTACATAGCCATGTCTGTCTGTCTGTGTGGGTGTGTGTGTGTGGAGGTAGGTATGTGTACATAGCCATGTCTGTCTGTCTGTGTGGGTGTGTGTGTGTGGAGGTAGGTATGTGTACATAGCCATGTCTGTCTGTCTGTGTGGGTGTGTGTGTGTGGAGGTAGGTATGTGTACATAGCCATGTCTGTCTGTCTGTGTGGGTGTGTGTGTGTGGAGGTAGGTATGTGTACATAGCCATGTCTGTCTGTCTGTGTGGGTGTGTGTGTGTGGAGGTAGGTATGTGTACATAGCCATGTCTGTCTGTCTGTGTGGGTGTGTGTGTGTGGAGGTAGGTATGTGTACATAGCCATGTCTGTCTGTCTGTGTGGGTGTGTGTGTGTGGAGGTAGGTATGTGTACATAGCCATGTCTGTCTGTCTGTGTGGGTGTGTGTGTGTGGAGGTAGGTATGTGTACATAGCCATGTCTGTCTGTCTGTGTGGGTGTGTGTGTGTGGAGGTAGGTATGTGTACATAGCCATGTCTGTCTGTCTGTGTGGGTGTGTGTGTGTGGAGGTAGGTATGTGTACATAGCCATGTCTGTCTGTCTGTGTGGGTGTGTGTGTGTGGAGGTAGGTATGTGTACATAGCCATGTCTGTCTGTCTGTGTGGGTGTGTGTGTGTGGAGGTAGGTATGTGTACATAGCCATGTCTGTCTGTCTGTGTGGGTGTGTGTGTGTGGAGGTAGGTATGTGTACATAGCCATGTCTGTCTGTCTGTGTGGGTGTGTGTGTGTGGAGGTAGGTATGTGTACATAGCCATGTCTGTCTGTCTGTGTGGGTGTGTGTGTGTGGAGGTAGGTATGTGTACATAGCCATGTCTGTCTGTCTGTGTGGGTGTGTGTGTGTGGAGGTAGGTATGTGTACATAGCCATGTCTGTCTGTCTGTGTGGGTGTGTGTGTGTGGAGGTAGGTATGTGTACATAGCCATGTCTGTCTGTCTGTGTGGGTGTGTGTGTGTGGAGGTAGGTATGTGTACATAGCCATGTCTGTCTGTCTGTGTGGGTGTGTGTGTGTGGAGGTAGGTATGTGTACATAGCCATGTCTGTCTGTCTGTGTGGGTGTGTGTGTGTGGAGGTAGGTATGTGTACATAGCCATGTCTGTCTGTCTGTGTGGGTGTGTGTGTGTGGAGGTAGGTATGTGTACATAGCCATGTCTGTCTGTCTGTGTGGGTGTGTGTGTGTGGAGGTAGGTATGTGTACATAGCCATGTCTGTCTGTCTGTGTGGGTGTGTGTGTGTGGAGGTAGGTATGTGTACATAGCCATGTCTGTCTGTCTGTGTGGGTGTGTGTGTGTGGAGGTAGGTATGTGTACATAGCCATGTCTGTCTGTCTGTGTGGGTGTGTGTGTGTGGAGGTAGGTATGTGTACATAGCCATGTCTGTCTGTCTGTGTGGGTGTGTGTGTGTGGAGGTAGGTATGTGTACATAGCCATGTCTGTCTGTCTGTGTGGGTGTGTGTGTGTGGAGGTAGGTATGTGTACATAGCCATGTCTGTCTGTCTGTGTGGGTGTGTGTGTGTGGAGGTAGGTATGTGTACATAGCCATGTCTGTCTGTCTGTGTGGGTGTGTGTGTGTGGAGGTAGGTATGTGTACATAGCCATGTCTGTCTGTCTGTGTGGGTGTGTGTGTGTGGAGGTAGGTATGTGTACATAGCCATGTCTGTCTGTCTGTGTGGGTGTGTGTGTGTGGAGGTAGGTATGTGTACATAGCCATGTCTGTCTGTCTGTGTGGGTGTGTGTGTGTGGAGGTAGGTATGTGTACATAGCCATGTCTGTCTGTCTGTGTGGGTGTGTGTGTGTGGAGGTAGGTATGTGTACATAGCCATGTCTGTCTGTCTGTGTGGGTGTGTGTGTGTGGAGGTAGGTATGTGTACATAGCCATGTCTGTCTGTCTGTGTGGGTGTGTGTGTGTGGAGGTAGGTATGTGTACATAGCCATGTCTGTCTGTCTGTGTGGGTGTGTGTGTGTGGAGGTAGGTATGTGTACATAGCCATGTCTGTCTGTCTGTGTGGGTGTGTGTGTGTGGAGGTAGGTATGTGTACATAGCCATGTCTGTCTGTCTGTGTGGGTGTGTGTGTGTGGAGGTAGGTATGTGTACATAGCCATGTCTGTCTGTCTGTGTGGGTGTGTGTGTGTGGAGGTAGGTATGTGTACATAGCCATGTCTGTCTGTCTGTGTGGGTGTGTGTGTGTGGAGGTAGGTATGTGTACATAGCCATGTCTGTCTGTCTGTGTGGGTGTGTGTGTGTGGAGGTAGGTATGTGTACATAGCCATGTCTGTCTGTCTGTGTGGGTGTGTGTGTGTGGAGGTAGGTATGTGTACATAGCCATGTCTGTCTGTCTGTGTGGGTGTGTGTGTGTGGAGGTAGGTATGTGTACATAGCCATGTCTGTCTGTCTGTGTGGGTGTGTGTGTGTGGAGGTAGGTATGTGTACATAGCCATGTCTGTCTGTCTGTGTGGGTGTGTGTGTGTGGAGGTAGGTATGTGTACATAGCCATGTCTGTCTGTCTGTGTGGGTGTGTGTGTGTGGAGGTAGGTATGTGTACATAGCCATGTCTGTCTGTCTGTGTGGGTGTGTGTGTGTGGAGGTAGGTATGTGTACATAGCCATGTCTGTCTGTCTGTGTGTGTGTGTAGGTATGTGTACATAGCCATGTCTGTGTGTGTGGTGTGGGGTGCACTGGGGGTTCCGGGGCTTTGCTTCCTACGGGGGGACTGGGACACGGGGACCCTCTGGCTTGTCTCCCTGAGCGCTCGGGGCGTGCGAGCCCGGCCTGCGGTCAGAGGCTCTGGGGGCCGCTTCCCCTGGGGCTGGTTCAGGCCGGGGTTCAGGGGCTCCCGGAGGCGGGT